TTCATCATCTACCTTTGAATGGTTTCAGCTAGTGTGATTATTGGGTTGTGTCTACAATCCAAAATCCACTTGTTAAATGACTTAGAGAAGTTGTTACATATATCATCACTTTTAGCTTTGGGTCCAAAAGCAACTCTGGACCACATATTAGCAAGCACAACAACTAACCACAGGTAAGCATCATTATTTATACCCTTCAACTTATTTGTATACCAATGAAACTCCGACATAGTGTGCGACATTATAGCCCCCCATAAGCAATCCCTCAGGTCCTTTCCCTTAAACCTATCCTTGAATTTGGCATACATGTGTTTGACACAAAACCTCTGGTTAGCCCCTCTAATTAAACTCTAAAAACACTCTACCAACCCTTGAAAGAAATTGTGCATTATACCGTTAGCATGAGAACCAATTAATAAATGTAAGAAATTTAAACTTATTTGTGTAAATCCATGTACCATCTACCTTTTAGAGATGTAGGTCCAACCACATTCCTCTGGACCTCCAATGCATTCATGGTCCAATGCATTCATTCAACAATGTCAGAAACCAAGCCCAAGAATCCTTCACCTCGGCCTTTACAATTGCAAAAGCTATTGGGAAATTTCCCTTATTTCCACCCAACCCAACAGCATGTAAAAGCTGCCCAGAATGAAGTTCCTTCAGATGGCACCCATCAACCCAATGATAAGGTGACCGCCATCATTGTTGTCAAACAAATAAACAATCTTTAAAATTCCCCTATGCATCTTTGACATGTACAATCCTCACAGAAACCGATCTTGATTACAATTTTAGGATTTGTCTTTAAAACTGCTACACAAATCCTATAGCTTGCTATACTATTTAGCATGTACACCATTAATGTCAACAACTACCTACCTCTTTGCGCAGTAAGTTCTGGATCTAGAAACTTTAACCCTAAATTGTCATAGTCTCATTATATAGTGTGCTACTCTTCTAATCAGGATCAGCCCTGAATTTGTTCTTGTACTTCCCCGCCAATCATGTAGATGTCACTTATGTTTGAATACACATGTTCACAGGTGTGTGTACTCCTAAATAACTTTATCTGAAAGGCCTCCTTACTCTGTAACTAGGATGCATGCACACGCCACTCACACTTTTCTTTTTTGCAAGAAGTTGTCACTCTAGAACCCTTATTCTTCACATATTTGAAATCAAACCAACCTAGGATAGCATAGTTGACTACAGCCTTCCGGGATGTTGTAGGGCTGGAGAATATCATACCTACAGCCAACCGTGGATTATCCATTTGCCTCTCAGCAAAATCATCGAATTGAGGTCCTCCCTCATCATTAGAACCATGTAAACTCTCCAACTCATCTGGGTGTTTTATCCCTGATGACATCACCATCCTCGACCTCATCCTCAAAACAGTCATCAACATCATACTCAGCTTCCAATTCTTCTTCCACCTCACATTTCAACTCATAATCAGGATCACTCTCTCTATCAGACCCATCATATGCTTTAAGCCCATATTCAAACTCAAAGTCAACATCAGCACCAAGATTAACTTCATCCACATGATCAGCTAAACCTGATGGTGGTGGTGGTGGTGAAGATGGTGTCTTAGCACCAGATGAACCCGACTAGGAAAGCTAGACCTATGATACTGTTACCTTTGACAACCTTACACCAGCCCTCTTACACTGTGTGTGTGTTGTCTATAATTCTCAGGGACCTTGCACATCTTTAGTATATCCCCATCACATTTCAAGCTTACCTAGGAAAGGCAATGGGGCGGGTTCAGGGCGGGGATTACATTCCCCATCCCTGACCCCAACCCCCAAATCACCCCCCATCCCCATCCCCGTCCCCGATCCCCAGTGGGGAAAAGATTCCCCCCTCCATCCCCAACCCCGATGGGGATGAATTCCACGTCAGAGACCCGAATCCCCGACGAGATATGTATGCACACTGAAGTCTAAGACAGAGAGGTTGAGACTGAGAGAGAGAGAGAGAGGGGATTGTTGCGAGAGTTGAGGTCGACGATGAGAGAGAGTCCAACGGGCGACGGCGATCGACGACTCGGCTACGATAGACAAAGGTTGAAGCGACGACGGTTGACGAGTGGCGACAGCAACTCTTCTTTGAGTAGCTCTTCTTTGTCACTCGAGTATCTCTATCCTCTGTCCGATGTCCGACGGGCAAGTGGCAACAGCGATGAGACGACGGTCAGCGAATCGGCGACTGGCGACGAAGATGAGGGTTCAGAGACAGAGTTCTCTCTTTTCTCTGTCAAAGTGTTTTGTGTTTCACTATCGAGGGTTTTAGTATTTTACTATTTTTTAAGTTTTAATCTTTTAAAAAAACGAATAATAATTATTATACTTATATAATATATATATATTAATCGGGGACAGGTCGGGGCAGGGATTGCATTCCCCATCCCCGTCCCCGTCCCTAATCGGGGATTCAGGGTAGCCCCATCCCCAACCCCGACCCCGCCATCCCTAACCCCGTCGAGTCGGGGAGCCTGGGTACCCATCGGGGACGGGGAAAATTGCCACCCCTAAGCTTACCAACCCATCATCTAGATTTGCATTGGGCCTCATATAATATACTTCACCAACTAAATTGTAACCAAGATCTTTCACTAATAATTGTATCTCGGTGAATGATAGAATGTCAACATCAACATTATGGTTAACAAACACATTACCACCAGTGTATATCAATGGTGGTATGTTCAAAAAATAACCACCATGATGTATGTTGATATTGTACACATTACTTGACATCTGGCAAAAAACATGTACACAAGCATTAGTGTTAAAATCGTAAACAATTTCATGTTGATTCATAGTTCAATAATCTAAGAAATAAATTAGCAAATATAAGCAAAATCCTACTTCATCATTCGTCAAGCAATCTGATTTTGGACTTTGTAACATATTGAGGGCTAAAACACTCCCCCCCCCCCCCCCTCTCATGCTTTGGTTTCTCCCCTTACCCCTTAGGGGCTGAAACACTTACCCCTCCCCCCTCATGTTTTGGTTTCCCCCTTCTTCAATTCACCCCTTAGGCTGTGTTTGGAAACAATGCAAATAATAGAGTGTAAAACGGTTCATATAAATTACAAAATTGGGTTAGTTTTGCACTGACAAATTTACCTTCTTACCAAACAAACTTTTAGTTGTAATGGATGCTGATGATGTGCAATCCGGCCGGTCTTAGCTGTCAACGACCTTGCCTCTGAACTGAGTAGCGGAGAACCTGAAACGGAGGAGATGAGGAAGCTCCGGGGAGAACCCGGTGTAAAGGCTCCGAAGCTTAAGTTAGAATCCTTCAAATGCAAGATAAAACCAGATAGCGCAAAGTTTGCATACCTCCTCTTTTGGGGGGTGGAGAGCCTTTTATAACCACCTCGCGCACTCACTCCTAGACTTCTGTCAGGTCGGGAATGATTACTTTCGTGCTTCTACCAGTTCGGGCGTCATTGCCTCTGCTGGGGCAGAACCGTCGCTGCTCTTTTTGTCGGAGCTGTCTCTGTAACTGGAGATGGCGGTGGCAGGTGACGGTGCCAGGTGGCCGTTGAAGTGCGGCCGTCAAGCGTCAGATCCCAAGTCAGTCAGGTGCGCCGCCCCTGGATACGAACTCCTTCAGTGTCAAGTACGGTGTGGTTCGTCCAGTTCAATGCTTTGGAGGTGAAGTGCCTAGAGCGGTGCGTGAGGCGAAGTCTTGAGTTCGAATAGTGGGGGGGTGTCCCGAACTGTCATAAGACGGGCCAGTTCGGGTCTCTGTTTTGTGTGACTCGGGGCCAAAGGGAGGGTTCGGGCTCCTCATAGGGAGTTCGAGCTCTAAGTACCCCTTGTAGGGAGTTCGGGCTCCTCGTAGGGAGTTCGAGCTCTAAGTAGGGAGTTCGGGCCCCTTGTAGGGAGTTCGGGCTCCTCGTAGGGAGTTCGAGCTCTAAGTAGGGAGTTCAGGCACCTCGTAGGGAGTTCGAGCTCTAAGTAGGGAGTTCGAGTCCCTTGTAGGGAGTTCAGGCTCCTCTTATGGAGTTCGGTCTCCTCGAGGGGAGTCCAGACCGCTGGCCTCTTCCCTTTGATGTTTGTACCCTCGATACGCTGTTTTAAGTGCTGAGCTACTTGTTTTTTGCCACGTGGCGTGATTTGCGAGGTTGGGCCAAATCTTCCTTCATCAGATGCAAACGTGAATTCCAATAAAGCGTATGCTTTTTTTTATCAAAATCCCACTTGAATGCAAATTTACTTCTTTTTGTTGATTTACTTTTATATCTTATTATCAATGTAAATATGCATTGGTCTATCATTTATCAATGCATAAATATAATGTTGCCAAACACAACCTTAGGGTATTTTCATCAAATGACAACTTGCAAGTCTTTGTCTAGCAATCAAAGGTTAAGGTCTTTGTTGGAAAAAAGAGCACAGGGGGGACTTTCTCAAAGACCCCATTATGCAAGGGGGTCTTTGTAATTTACCCTATATCTTTTAATGTGAATGTAAAACATTAAAATGTTCCTTTATTACATGTAATATATGCCATTTCAATATCCAATTCAAATCTTCCCACGCAAGGTTCAAAGTATCAACACGTATCAGCCCATATCAACCGATACGTATCATTCCAAAAGCTCCCCGATACGCTCCTACAGAGGGTGAATTGAGGTTCAGACCAGTTCAGGGGTGGAGGAGCCTTAAACCAGCCCCCCTGAACCGGTTTTGAAAAAAAATAAAATAAAAAGTGAAAAAAAAAAGTATCAATATCGCCCGATACGCCCCTACCAGCATGTATCAATATTTTGAACCTTAACCCAAGTTTGATGCTTGAAAAATGAAACACATGAAGCCTTTATCCTCAGCTTGCACATACTAACGTTGAAATTGTCATTACCGTCCAACAATAGTGCTCCAACGCCAGGAGCCTTATTATTTAAAATTTACTTTTTACTTTGATTACTTACAAGTTCAAAGAAGGGATCAAGTCCATTTGGATACAACCCTAAGTTCTTCAAAAGGCTGGCCATTTTTCTACCGAGCATTTATCAGGAAAGATGCAAAGGTAATACATTGCCATTTGCCCATGTCTGCATATATTATACTACATGTAACAAAACCATTCCAAACGCTAACAGATAGATATAATCATATAATTATATACAGAGAATTTTGAGTAAGATGTACTATAGTGTATTAATTCTTTAACCACACGAAACACTAGTCACGCTGGTATCTTCCCTTTCTCCCATCAGCTTCCTTCCCTTTTTCGTGGACCGAGACTAGTCTGACAAGTAATGCCCTCTCAGGGGTGCTCCACAGCAAGTATACCACTGGAATTTTATGGATGGCACTTGCTTAACTAAAGGAGATTACATTACCTATCGATGCTGATGGCACATTTGGCAAGTGTTTGCAGACTTAACATTGGCATATGTGCAATGGTCACAAGACCAGTGACCTGAATCATCCAGTCGACTGGGAGCTCGGGAGGCCGTTCCTTTGCCCCTTCCGCCTCTGGCTTTGTTTCCTCCCAAATTCTTAGAACTCGCTGTTCTGCTACAAGCACCATGGGAGTCCACATCTGACAGACCGTTCTCCAATGCTCGTACCAAGTTCTCAAAGTAGTTTCGAGTCACACTATCATCAAAAGTAAACAGGTTATTCAATTTTAAAAGTTCAGATTTCTATTGTAAATCACTGCTGAAATTGGCTAACAACAAGCAAGATAGGATCGATGAAGGTGTTTCTCCCTTTCTTATTCCATCAAGGCTTTCTTCCCAGGGGCTTCTATTAAGAAGGTGCTTCTCCCTCAAATGACGATTAATATTTGATAAACAGATCATATCCCACATCTTAATACCAAATATCCCCACAATGTTCAGTTCCAGCAATATATATATATGTGTTTCTAGTAGTTACCTAGTCAGCCCAGCAAGCTTTGTCCGGAACTCATTGAAGTCTTCTGATGGGCCCTCTGCATTTAGATAAATTTGTAGTTCCTTCTCAGCACATTGATGTAGCCGTTCTAACCCAGACTCGGCCTCACCTACAGAACAATTATCTTACCAACTCTGAAAAGAAGATAGCAAACATAGACGATAAAAATATCAAGAAATAAAGAGGCCTACCTTGTAGATACTCAAAAAATTGTCTTTTAGCATGTTCATGCTCAGGCAGGTAATACCCATAGGCATAAGTCCACTTGAGCACTCGCCGGCATTCAACTATCTGCAACCACAACCAGATGAAGGGAAGAGGAAAATGGACTCTGCACAGATTATGGTTGGCAAAATGCAAATAATTTTGTCCATGAAAAAGTAAATAAGACCAAAAGGACAAGGTTTTCCAAAAATTATTTTAGTCCGAAAGATAACATATACATTTTATGTGTTTTATTTCAATGGATGTTTATAATATATATACATATATATATAAAGTTTGTCTCATTATTGGACCCAAATCTATAGTGTGGAAATGTATTAATTGCCAATCTATGTATATTTCATCCTTTGCCACATTGCATATGTTTGACCCCGTATTTTGAAAAAGTAGAATGGATCAGATGGTCCATCCATTGAAACCATAAAAAATCCTGGATTTTGGGGCTACCCTATAAACCATTCACAAAAACCTTTTGATTACAATAATAAACCATTGAACCATACAGCAAAACCACAAAACAATTCAAATATATGAACACTTAAAGGTCTGACAAATTCTGCATTCTGTTTTTTATTATCAATTTTGATTCAATTAACTTTTGCACAACTCCATCTTATCCCAACTCAGCAATCCTTCTTTTACAAAAATCACAACAATTTTAACTTAAGACTCTTCTTTAGAAGAATTTTAACAAACAAGGACAAGGGGGAAAGGGTAAGAGAGAGAGAGAGAGAGAGCACTTGACAAGTTTTCTAATTAGCTTTTTTATTCTAATTCCTCGTGCTCTTGTTTCATTTTTTTATGAATTTCTTCACATTTTCTTTGGGTTAAAATTCGTAAATCAGTTCACCATCACAAAGATGTTGACAACTCTGTTGTCAAGGTGAAGCCTAGGCGACAAGGCGCCCTTTGAAGCTCGCCTCGCCTAATCGCCAAGCAGTTTTCTACTTCCTACTATAAAATACTTTTTTATTCATTCTTTTTTG